CGCGAGCTTCGCCCAGCGGCGCCGCTGCAGGAAAAGTTTCCCCGCGGCGCGCGAGGAGCTGCCCGCGGGGCGGGAACGCGGCGCAACCCGGAAGGCACCGGGAGAAGCCGGAAGTGACGGGAAGAGTGCGCATGCGCTTGACAGCAGCTTGTGGTTGCCAGGCGACGCGCTGGGGCGGGCAGGGCCCAGGTCCGATGAAGCCAGCTGCGGGCGGGAGACTCCCGAAGGAGAGTCGTACATCGTTAGTTGGGGCTGGTGCGGTTCATGGCAGGGAGGCGGCGCCGGAGAGAAGAGGAGAGATGACCAGAAACCCCCAAAGAGAAGCGGGGTGTTAAGCTCGGGGCCTGCATGGGGCCGTCTCAGGGCTGGAAGTGCTCGAAATCTGTTAACGGCCTCAGTCTGCATCTAAACTTGGTCGTGCCCGGGAGAGCTTGTGCCTGTTGGCATATTTCAGGGTTTAACCTGTAACGTGTGATAGAGTGGAAAGTAATTCTAGGACGTACACTATTCTACAAAAGTGCAGCACGGTTTTGCTTGCCTTTTTTTTTTTTCTTTCTTTTTTTTCTTGAGAGTTCTCAGTCTCTACTGTGGCAAACTGCTTCATATCCCGGCTAGAAATTGCAGTGCCTGGAGAGTGTTGCAATTGTAGCCGTCTGAGCAGCATTCAAGGCTACTATGTTAAATCTGTGCTGAGAATTGCAGTATGGCAGTCCTGTATAAAATTCTGTTGCTGGGATTTCTAGAGGCAGCTGCAGAGGGTTCTTGGGTTTTCCCCCACAGCCCCATCTCAATATGATAATTTTCAAACCTTCACCTCACAGGCTTCTGTTTCTTAAGTGTGCTTTGTCTCTGATGAGCACAATGCTTTTCAGTTGTTAACAAACTGTAACTGTGATATCCTTTGTCACTTTTGCACCTTGCTCCAGAAACAAGAAGTACATCATAGTAGGTCATACTATAAAACATAAAAGTTTTTAGACCTCACAATAGTGAATGTATTACATACATGGACATCTACTCCTGCTAGCAGTTATGTCCCAAATAATGCACCACCTTTAGGGGAAGCGTTCACCTTTGTTGTGGTTTAACCCCAGCCGGTAACTAAGCCCCACGCAGCCGCTCGCTCACTCCGCCCGGGTGGGATGGGGGAGAGAATCGGGAGAGTAAAAGTGAGAAAACTCGTGGGTTGAGATAAAGGCAGTTTAATAGGGAAAGCAAAAGCCGCGCACGCAAGCAAAACAAAACAAGGAATTCATTCACTCCTTCCCATCGGCAGGCAGGTGTTCAGCCATCTCCAGGAAAGCAGGGCTCCATCACGCATAACGGTTACTTGGGAAGACAAACACCATCACTCCAAATGTCCCCCCCTTTCCTTCTTCTTTCCCCAGCTTCATATGCCGAGCATGACGTCATATGGTGTGGAATGTCCCTGTGGTCAGTTGGGGTCAGCTGTCCCAGCTGTGTCCCCTCCCAACTTCATATGCACCCCCAGCCTACTCGCTGGTGGGGTGGTGTGAGAAGCAGAAAAGGCCTTGACTCTATGTAAGCACTGCTCAGCAGTAACTAAAACATCCCTGTGTTATCAACACTGTTTCCAGCACAAATCCAAAACAGAGCCCCGTACCAGCTACTGTGAAGAAAATTAACTCTGCCCCAGCCAAAACCAGTGCAACCTTTAGAGGAAATGATGTATACATTTCATATAAATGTATATATCTATTTCATATGTTTTCATATATATATTTCATATATATGTAATCCGTATAACTTTTTTGTTGTTGTTTTGGCTTCTCCTTGACTGCTGGTTCTCACTACGCTGAAAGAGTCTCTAAAGGGGTGAGGGCTTTAAAGTTTGCAGTGTGTCACGATGCAGGCCACAAAGTTGTAGCCATGCTTCTGTGGCCTGCTTTTTGGCTGCTGAATACCAGGTGTTGGCTTATTGCCCGTCGAACTTTTGTATCAGCATCAAATTAGTGATTATTTTTGCCATTGCAATCTATCTAGGAACTTCTGAAATGTTTTTACTTTGGGCTTATGCCATTACTTACTAAAACTTGGTAGCAACATGGGACTACAATAGGTTTTGGGTTAGACCTCACTCAATACAAGCAAGCTTGAACCTTACATAGCTCCTGTGGAGAGCAGGTAATACAACACTTTCAATCTGTGAGTTAGAAGCTGACGTAGTGCTACTTTATTCACTTGCTTCTTGCAGCTGCTGAAATAATGACCCATTTCCAATAAATAATAAGCCCAAAGACATGTGAGCTCGAAAATCACAGTATGTTGCAGTGTTATTTTAGCATGAACACTACTTTTTACTGCAAAGGCAATCAGGTCATGCACTCATGCGCAGCTCATTAAGTACCATTCTGACCAGAAACTGCCAGAACCAAATGCTTTAACTCCAGAGGACGGCCTACACAAGCAGGCAAGAGGCAAATCTACATCTATTCATGTCCTAACTGAAAGGAAATGGGCAAAAAAATATATGTAGCTTGTCTTCTTTAAAGCATTTTGTAAAAGGGGGTAAAGCTCTCGTGTGGACTGTACGTCCTAAGAGATGTTAAAACAAAAAACACAGTTTCAGACCTCAGTTTTGCTCCTCTGTAGTTTCTCATCGGAAAGGTATGTCTTATCGGCTGAGAATTAATGTATTGTCTGTGTCAAAAAGTGTTTCATTTCAGGCAGTGTTCTTGTTTGTATCAAGATGATTTCAGTTAATGTGTATAAGTAAACAAGGACCTGAGCTGGAAGAAGGTACTTTCTGAAAGAGCAGAGATTTCATCCACTGTCTTGTATGAAATTGTATTAAGTTCAGGGAATCACACTATCTTCTTATTAAAAGATCGGCCTAATCTTAGGTCTTTGATCTGCAAGTCATATATTTCATTGTAAAAATAATGGATTATAAAGTCTAAGCAGTGAAAAGAGGATGAAAAATTATGCCAGCACTTCAAACACTGCGTGTTCTGAAAGGTTTGCAGCAGATTAAAATGGAGAAGGTGGAAGAGATGTACATCCCGGGGGAAACATGTTGGGATACCTTGGCTGTCACCACAGGATGTTGTTCCACCATGCTTTGCTATCAGGAGGCAGCAGATGGGAATAGCAGCAGACCAGGTGGAGGAACGAGGTATGGAGAGTGTGATTTGCATCCATGTGCAGCGGCATTAAATTTGAAGGAGGTGGCAGCTGTCACAACCAGCCAGCTTCCACAGAGACCTCTTGGTTGGTGAATGGTTCAGCCACAGGTCTAAGGTTTCAGTTCTGCTCTCCTTTGATCTCATGATAAAGCCAACCAGTTGTTGCCTCTGAATGTGCCCCTTAGGTGCCCACGTTCTTGGTGGGCCCTTGACATGGACTGATAAGCTGCTGTTGCAGCCACCCCCGTCCATACTCCTTGCTCCTCTGGGATGGGGTACTTACACTTGCAAGTATAGGTGGCATCCCAATCCAGCTAAACAGAAAACAGACGCCTGGTTCCTGCACCTTCTGTATTAAAGGCAGGGGAGGACTTCAGCCACAGGGGCATTTGCCACCAAAGGGCAGGGGATAGTGGAAGGAAGATGAAATGGCTTGTAGGAGGCACGGACAGCAAGGCTGCTGAAACACAGACTGTCTGGCTCAGGGCAAGATATCCAGGAGAGCTCTTCTCCCAACACAGCTATCACGAGCCCAAACCTGCATGAAAGAAAATGCCACTGTGCCTGCTGCATGAGCAAATTACAGGAGCCCAAAGCCTGCAGGGAGGGCCTGGAGGGTAGGAAGGTTGAGGACACAGAGCTCTATCACTGCCTGTGCTTTCCCCAGGCTGATTCCATGCAGGAACAACCAAGAGTTGCAGGGAGATGTGCCAGCCCAGCATGCATGGCCCCAGGGTTACTATCCCTGTGCTCTCATTCCCCTACGCCAGTGGAAGATGTGGTCCTCATCTGTGGCTGTTTCCAGGTTCCTCCTCCTGAGGGCAGCACAAAGAGATGAAGGAGCTGGAGTAGTGCTTGAAGCCATCTTTGCCATCACGGTCTTCATGGCCTGGTCAAACCACAGTCCTTTTACAGCAGCAAATCCTTAAGGCCTTTCCATCTTCCTCCACAGCAAGTTGTGAAAATGGACCTGCTTGGCCCTCTCTTGCTGTCTGCCACTGCACGTCTCATACAATCTGCCTTTGCCAGTGAACCATGGACCTCCCCCTGCTCCCTCACAGCTCGGCTGCTTTGCTCAGCTTTCTGTCCCTCCACACGTTCTGTTCACTCATGCAGATACAGCCTGCTTGCCTGCAGTAGCTATCACTTTATGTGTAACATCAAATTAGCTGCCCTGACTGTGCCCTGTGCTGCTTTGGAATGAAGAAAATGAGGGAATCTCTGAAGAGAAATGGGTCTTTATGATTTTGCTTGGTGTTTCAGTAGAGAGTCTTATGCCTGATCAAAAGTTTCTCTTTTGACTTAGGCAATTGCTTCGTCCCACCTCTGAGAAGTTAAAGGCTTCTGAGAGTGTGATTTCATGTGTGTGGAAATACAGATGTTCTCTGTTGTAAAAGTGAGCTTAAACATAGCAGTTCCCAATTTCATGTAATTCGTAGGCTTGATGCTCATTATCCTGTAACCTTGTGCATCTCCTTCTCCATGTGGGTTGCTGGAGCCAGCCCCACTGCATTGCAGGTTTGGGGGTAGATCTCTGGTGGCTCTTTTCTGGTTTTGGGTTTCTTAGGAAGTGGTGATGGTGGGCCTGACTGATACTTGTTTCTAGCCTTGCAACCACATGGAGATTCTCCAAAAAGTTGTTCATGTGGTGATAACACGCCTTGAGCTGTGCATTGTCACAGGGAAATCCTCAGAAGTCTTCCTGGAACTTAATGATTCTTTCATCAGTGTATCATATTTGATCAGGCAATGACATATGCCAAGTTCAGTGCCCTGACAACGTATTTTAGTAATAGTAACACTACTGCAGACACCACCACCTATATGCATGTCTTAAAGAGAACTCAGCTACAGGGAAAAGAAATTAAAGAGAGAACCAGTTGCAGCAGATCAAGCTGCAGCTCTTTTCAGCAGGGAATCCAGAGACTGGCTTGTTGTCCCCTCCCACCGCCCTCCTTTTCATATGGATGTACATTGCTTGAAAAACAGGCGCCTCCAAACGTAATCTAGGCTCTCTGGTGTTGTCCTAAGCTTTCTTAAGGGTGGGGGCATTGGTTGGAGTGGCACTGCTTGGAGAACAAGTGCTTGACCTTA